CTCTAAGCAGGCAGTCTTCCACTTACGACCGGTCTCTCATCAACCATCCAAAGTTATGACCTACTTAAAAAAAGGGGGAATTATAATCCAGTTCCAATGGTCGTGACGATGATTTACAACGGTTTATGGGATCCACAGTGAACCCTTGGCTGAATTAACCAAAATCAGCTCTGTCGTATGACTGACCCGTTTCACGATCATTAAAAGACTTACGATCGTAATGGGCAGGCTACATTACAGTCGTAACTTGAGGAGGACATGTGTAAGTCGCCAACAGCTGGATGTCGGCTTCGGATGGGGGGGGAGGGGAAGACACGCACCAGTTTGACAAATCCATTCTGCAGCTCCGCCAGCTGCTCCTTCAGCTCCCGGTTCTGGGTCAAGGCTCGGCTGATGGTGGCTTTGTCGCTCTGCATGTTCTCCAAGATCTGCTGCTTGTCCACGTCCTCCTCGCTGTGGCGCTGCAAGGCCTTCTCCAGCTCTTGAAGCCGCTCCTCCTGCTCCTGGTTGAGTCGGCTCATCTGCCCGTTGTCTCGCACCTGGGTCTGCCATCGGTCCAGCAGCTCCTCCTTCTCCTTCTCCAGCCGAGCCAGCTCCTCTTGAAGGTGCAGTTCAGTCGGCGAGGGCCCCGGGGCAGCAGGGGCGGGCTGAGTCTCCTGGGGCTTCACCGCTACGGAATCCAGGAGAGAAGAAAGGCGGGTTATTTACAAGTCACGCCCTTGGATCCAGGCAACTCTTCTCCAGAAACTCAGTGGCAAGCCTAGCTGGAAACAGGATGGTTCTCCAGACCTTCCCACCCCATGCCCTGACCACCCTCTTGGAGCAACCACCCAACGTGCTGCAGCAGAGGGATCTTACCACTGAAGGAAAGACTGCTGGATTTAGGATATTCTTTTTTTTTTAGCGTACTACAATACCAATGCACATGGTAGTAGTAGATACGGCTGCCTAAGACAGCCCTGCTTGGTTCAGATGGATGGGCCAGAGGGGGCGAGCTAGTTCCCCACCAGAAAGAAAGACGGGACGGTTTTCCTGCAGCGCCATCCGAGGCCCTCTCTCCCTCCACCAACGCTGCCTTGCAAAGGGGCACTGCAACTGGGAAGGCCCAGCGCCAGCAGGATTCTACCCGTCCGCTTGAAGCACCGGTTCCTCTCCCCACTGGAGTGGTACCTATTTATCTACTCGCACAGAACATGCTTTTGAACTGCCAGCTGGGGAGGAGCCGAGCTGAGTGACGGGAGCTCACGCAACGCTGGGACTTGAACCGCCGGAGCAAAGACCGTCTCCAGCGACATTAAGTCACCCCCGATTCAGGAGATGGGGGGGGGGGGGAATCGGGTGACTGGAAGGGGGTCTTTTGGGGGGTGGAGAACACCAGCATTTACCTGACTGACTGCTCAGCAACTCTGAGAGGTTGGCCTCCAGCTCCCCAATCCGAGTCTCGCTGAGTTCTTTCTCTCCCGTCAGAGTCCGGACCTGCGGGAAACCCAGTTGGGCCAGCCTGAAGGGCAACCTCCAAACCATTACAGGATCTGGAAGGATCTCTTAGGAACCTTACCTGTTCGGAGAGGAGCTCGACTCGCTGCTGCCAGATGCTCCCTTCCTCCTTCAGCCGCAGGACGTATTGATCCCGTTCGGTCTGCAGTTTTTGCAAAGACTCTGACAGCTGTTGAGCAAGGAAGAAGGAAAGAGAAGAGACGGGCGGTGCCAATCAGACTCTACCAAAAGAGTTGACGACTGCCATCGAGGCCAAATCCCCGGGCTCCTTCTGAAGGCATCCCCTCTGGACGTCCACCTTACCTGGGCAATTTGGCTTTCTAAGTTGGCTCTTTCCTCCAGGGCTGCCTGCAGCTGCTGGGCAGCGGCATCTGAGATCCCTGGTTGGCTTGAAAACTAGCAGAGGGGTTAAAAAAAACCACACACAATTATCGGAGTCCTTTTTTTTTAATATATAAATTTTATTAGTTTTAATAGGGGTTGGGATAAGGATTGGGGTTTGGGTTAGGGTTTTCCAAGGTAACTTTTTCAATATTTAGCAAACAGCATATTATCTGGGTACATGTATTTGACTAAGAATAATAGATGTAGTTAATGATCATAAACAGTATTAATTAATCACTCAGTAGCCTTCTTCTTTATATATTCAAAATTACATGTCACATTCCTTTCTCTTTTGACTCGTTTTTCTAGCCATTGGTAAAAGTTATCCCACGTCCTAAAGTAGACTGAGTCTTCTTTCTCTTTAATCTCTAAAGTCAGCAGCCCCAAATGCTAATACAATCCTACAATTAGCGCACAAATTTGGATCGTGTGACTGTGGGGATGCTGTGACGGTTGTTGCAGTGTGAGAACTGGTTGTGAGTCATATTTCCCCCCCCCCAAGGGGCCATCGTAGCTTTGAACGGTCGCTAAAAACGTGGTTGTTAACTCAAGGGCCACTCGTAGTCACAGTAACGCGGATACCTGCTGGATCAGCAGCTCGGCCATTTCCAGTTTCTTGTGCAAATCTTCCACGTCTAGTTTCATGGCTGAGTTTTCAGAGAGCAGGTTGTGTAGTTTCTCCGACAACTCCGAAGTCTGCTGCTTGAGCTCTTCGTTGGTTTTACTAGGGGGAAGGGGCAACCCAAGAGAACAAAATGAAGCCCCTCTTTCGTTTCTATAAACGCCCCCAAACAATAAAGCCAAAAGGAACGCATCTCACCTTTGCTTGTACATTTCCAGTTTGAGGTTATCCCGTTCCTTGGCTAGCTCTTTGTTGTGCTGTCAGCAAGAAAGAAGGAAAACGAATCAAAACAGGCAATTTAAAAGAAAGAAAAAAAAAAGGGGGGGGGAGACAGACCTTTCATTGGGAGAAATGTCCCCCAAATAAGAAATTGAGAAAGGTTGCTGTATCTCGCTCCTGGGAAGGCATTTAAAATTAAGGATTCTTACTTGGCACAAAAGGAAAGCCACAGTTAGATAATGTTTTTTTTTATATTTAGCACTTAGATTTATAATGGGAGTTAAAATGAACTGTTAGACTATAACTTTAATTGTTATATGGAAATAGATTCGTGATAATGAAAGATATTTTGTTATTAAAGGAGTTACTAGAATGAGAATTAGAATATATTTGTCTATAAAGAAGGTAAAATATGGAATAATATGTGTATTTTAGTTATGTTAATTATATTATAATGAAATGAGGGAAATCAAGGTTTTCCAAAGTTTAAACATTGGTTATAAAAGGCTAAATGGAATATATAAATTGGAATTAAATAAAACCTCTAAACAGGACTTCGATATATATATATAAGTAAAATACTATTGATAAATGTATTGATTGATTGAGTCTAGTTAGAAACTTAATTAACATGAATATGATATAATATTTGTGGGAAACAGTGAGGGAATGCTATTGATGTAACCTGAGATATATATGAATGATTTTGTTATTGACTGATTTCCCTAGCACCACGCTGCTTCCTAAGTATCTGGATGTTAAAATTTGAAAAATTAATAAAACTTGTTTTTTTTAAAAAAATAAATAAAATTAAGGATTCTATATATATAAATTCCCCGACATCTGTTGTTATTGGTATAAAATAATTCAGGTTGGTCAGCTGGCCCAGTTCCCTTTACTGCTTTGAAAAATAAAAATAAAATAAAAGGTGGATTGGGTGGGTTTTATTTTTAAAGCAAGATCTCGTAATGCGATGCAGAATTGGGCACCGCTAAAAGCACAGCAAAATCCGCCAGGAAAAGCGGAATATTCGCCAATATTCATCCCCAGTGGAAACATTTTTGCCTTGTACAGCCAGAGCGGCTAAGATGATAACAGCTCTCTCTGCATTTAATGCCCCTTTCCTTTTCCCTGGAGAGTCAAGCAAGAGCTGGAGAAGGAAGTTTTTTTGGCTAAGGCCTCTGCAGGAAACAAGGTCTCTGTTTGAGAAAGGCAAGGCCAAGCGTGTGACCAATGGAGCTTTTTTTTTTTTTAAACCCTTATTTCTGTTTGCTTTGCAAGCGTTTGGGGCAGGGAACGAGGCCCGGCTTCCCAAAAACGGAAGCCACGATGTCAAAGAAGACAAGGAGAGAAAAAGTGAATGTCTGATGCTTACTTTCTCTGTCTGCTTCTGCTGAACGGAGAGGGAGGAGAGGGTGTATTCCACCTCGGAGACCCTCTGTCGAGATGACTGCAGCCGAGCGGCCAGGTCCTCAGCTTCCCCTGTCCCAGGAAAAAAAAAAAACAAGATTAGGGGCGCCGGGATCCCAAGGCCCCTGAGCCCCACAATGTCTACAGAATGCAGAGGCGCTTCGGTAGCTACCGCCGGGCTGCTCCAAAAAAACCAGAGGTGGACACGATTTGGTGCCAAGCAACTCCAGGATCACCAAGGTTCTCCTGCTTGAGCAGGGGGCTGGACTAGAAGATCTCCAAGGTCCCTTCCAGCTCTATTCTATTCTATTCTACTCTATTCTATTTTCCATATTCTATTCTATTCTATTCTATTCTACATTCCATATTCTATTCTATTCTTCTATTCTATTCTTCTATTCTATTTTCTATTCTATTCTATTTTCCATATTTTTTCTATTCTATTCTATTCTACATTCCATATTCCACATTCCATATTCTATTCTATTCTACATTCCATATTCTATTCTATTCTACATTCCATATTCTACTCTCTATTCTATTATTCTATTATTCTACTCTATTATTCTACTCTATTATTCTATTCTATTCTATTCTATTTTCTATTCTATTCTATTTTCCATATTTTTTCTATTCTATTCTATTCTACATTCCATATTCTACATTCCATATTCTATTCTATTCTACATTCCATATTCTATTCTCTATTCTATTATTCTATTCTATTATTCTACTCTATTATTCTATTTTCTATTCTATTTTCTATTCTATTCTATTCTATTGGCAAGGAAACGGAGCTGGGATAAGTCTAGATTCAGCCCGTAAAACTCGATTTTTTGGAGATGGGGCAAAGGAATCCAGGATGCTGGGAAAGGAGTACCAGGTCTCTAACACCACCAGGTGATTAAATAAGATGGGCAACTAGAAGAGGAGCAATCTAAAGCAGGGGTCCCCAACACTGCCTGTTTGAAACCGCGCAAGCCCAAGCACTGGGCAAGCGCACCCAAAGCTGCACTCATGCGAGCGGAGGACGCTTGCATGCAAAGCTCCATTTGCGTGAGTGGAGGGCGCAGACACGCCCTGCTTGCACCCATGGAGCTGTGTGCGTGCCACTCATACACACCTACGTCAGGCTGGGCCACCCAAGGTGGAACGGTTGGGGACCGCTGATCTAAAGGATACCCACCTGCTTTCTGCCGGGCAGCCTGCTGTGTGTGGGAAAGAGCGGTCTGCAATTCGGACTTCTCAGAGACCAGGATGCCGATGGTCTGAATGTGGACCTTTCAAGGAAGCACAGGGGAAGGGGATGAGCTGAGGGACACGCCAGGGACCCAGCGAGTGTCAGAACGTGGCTTCCCACAAAACCATGAGCTTCCTCCTCTAGGTTGCAGAAGGCAAGGGATGGGAGGCCGGTACCAAAGGGTAGCACCTACCTGTAATTGTTCTCGTAGGGTGGCTTGCTCCTTCGCAAACCGCTGCTCAAACCCTTTCTTCTCCTGTGGAAACACAATTTATTTACTTGCGGCAAGATCGGCAGTCAATTTATTCGCGTGGAGATCTCCTTTAGCACAGTGTTTCTCAACGTTGGGAGTTGGAAGAGGGATGGAGTTGAAGTCCACCCGTCTTCAACCTGCCACGGTTGAGGAATGGAATAGAAAATAGAATAGAATAGAATATGAATAGAATATACAATATAGAATATAGAATTGAATAGAATATGAACAGAATAGAATAGAATAGAATAAATAGATGAATAGAACAGAATAGAGTAGAATGGAATAGGAATAGAAATATAGAAGATGAATAGAACAGAACAGAACAAAATAGAAGATGAATAGAACAGAACAGAGTAGATAGAAGAGGAATATCGAATAGGATAGGATAGGATAGAACAGAACAGAACAACAAGAATTGGAAGGGATCTTGGAGATCTTCTAGTCCAGCCCCCTGCCCAAGCAGGAGAACCTATACCAGTGGTGGTGATCTATGGCACGGGTGCCAGAGGCGGCACTCAGAGCCCTCTCTGTGGGCACACGTGCTGTCGCCCCAGTCCTAGGCCTTCAGCTGGGTTTTATAAAACTTTTTCGCTTTAGGCCTCCGCCGCCGTGTGCAAAAAAAAAAAAAAAAAAGGTTCAATCAGTCAATTTCAACTTCTCGCGGGGGAAAAAAAGATCTTGCAAAGTTGGAATTGATTGATTGAACTTTTTAGTCCCACTCAGTCTCCTGTTACCGCAGCCATGCCCAGCCAATGGGCCACACCCACCCGGCACTCGACAATGCATAAGTGGGTTTTGGGTTGCAGTTTGGGCACTCGGTCTCTAAAAGGTTCGCCATCACTGACCTATACCATCACAGACACTGCTTGATTATATTCAGATATTGCTAGAACTGCTCTGGTCCAGAAGAAGCGTTTAAAAGCTTCCTATAGTCCTTCCACAAACCAACTTTTCAGAAATGCTGGTGAAGAGAAGCTGGGAAATTATCCTCGGAGCGTGGTCTCTACTCCCTTATATTTTTACTATTAAAATATACTGGGTGGAGTGAGTTATTGCCGTGCTAACCCATATCTGGTTTGGAAACGCATGCTAAAGTTTGGTTTAATTTTTTTTTTTTTTTTTAAAAACTAAGTGAAAAAGGAGTTAAGGTTTTTCCAAACAGGAAGAGAAAACTCCTTAGCTCAGCAGACTAAGTTCAAAGGAAATGGCAGAATTATCCTGCACGTGGGAGGACAGGAACAGGCTGACACAGCCCCAAGCAGCAGCAGCTTTTACATGAAGAAAACGAACACAAACAATCGGACCACTGTAACTTGGGTCAAAAGACACACAACTGTGAGGAATGGAAGTGGGGGGGGGGGAGGGAAGTGTGTTTTGTTCTCCATGCCCTGAAAACCCATCTATTCCGTGCGGCCGACCTGGCGTAGCCTTAATTATGTTTTAGTAAAGGTTTTATATGGGGTATTTTAGAGCAGGTCTTTATTTAATCTGATTTTAGAATAGAAATTTGAGTATATTTATTGTGATTTTTATTATCGCCTGTTCACCGCCCTGAGTCCCGTAAGGGAGATAGGGCGGTATACAAATTTAAATAAATAAATAAATAAAATGCTACAAAAACCCATTCAGACCGAGATTTGGGTGGAATGGGTCCGTACGAAATGGGTTGTCCTTTTTACACATCTACATTTACCCTGGAGGGTAAATGCAATTTCACAATCCATAACATTAAGGGGGGGGGGGGTGTCTACAAACTAAGTATCGGTAAAGCAGTTGAAACCCTCCCAAAAGTTTAGAAGACAGAAGGGGAGGGGGGAAGCAAAATAACACATTTTTGTGTCTCTGGAACATATCTTTCTCCATTACCTTCTCCAACTCATTCGTGACGTCTTGGTTCTGCTGTTTCTGTAGAAGGAAAACAGAAACACAAGGATCACGTCTGAAGCGAGGCAAGGCTGGCTAAGGCTTTTTGGGGGGGGGATCAACTCAGCTCGGGTGACAAAGTCAGGGCCAGCAGAAGCACCCCAACCTGGCTCCCCCAACCCCTGCTGTGTTGCAACAGAAATGAATTTCGGGGTACAGGCGACAAACATTTGTTTAGCAACCATTACCACGGCGCCGAAAAAGGTGACTTGGGATTTATGTGCCTGCCTGGTCCAGATACAGGCACCGTTCCGGCGTAAAGAACTTCACGACCCACCAGAGTGGGAGAAGAGAGAGAGGGGGGAAATGAGAATTCAAAGGAAAAAAAATAAGGGGGGGGGAAATAAACAGCACATGCAAACAAGGTTTCAAACACAGCAAAGCCTCTTTGCGACCCGGAAACAGCCCTTAGCTGCACGGAAGACGGCAAGCAGGAAGAGAAGTGGCAGTAAGCGATGCAACAAAGACGGCCCGCGTGGGCTTCTTCACGGTGCCACAAGAGTAGAAGAACGGGCCGGCTCATCGTAAGTTTGGGTCTAGCAAGCTCTGCTCTTGCTGAAAGAGTCAACGTGGAGTAAGTGACGGAAAACCTGGGCCGTTCTCTTCTGGTGAGCGCGGGTTTCAGGATCTCTCCTGGCGCTGGACTTGAGTTTTGAACCTGTTTCCACTCTGCCCGACTTGGAATCAACTTCTGGTGGGTTGGATCCGGTTTGTGACTGCAGTTGGCTCAACGGTTAAGATGCTGGGCTTATCGGCTGGAAAGCCGGCAGCCCAGGTTTGAGATCTGAGCTCCGTGGGATGGCTGAGCACCCGTCCTCGCCTCAGCTCCTGCCCAACCAGCAGCTGGAAAGCATGCCGATGCGAGTAGATAAATAGGTACCACTTTGGTGGGAAGGTGAGAGAGCTCTGTGACATCATGCTGGCCACAGGAGCACGGAAACGTCTTCGGACAGCGCCGGTTCAAGGGCGTTGAAACGGAGATGAGCAGCGCCCCCTATACTCAGCAGCAACTAGTGGAGTAAAATCTGCAAGGGCTCCTTTATCCTTTTACCTGCAGCTTCTCCCTCCCCCCCCCCACAAAGCACCTGCGGTTTCTTAAGTTACCTGGCTGCTTCTATTCAGCCCACATCCTTCCTTAGTTCGTGGCCAATTTCTCTCCTGCCTGTCCTCTAACTTGCCCCCTTTTGACAGTTCTGCTACTAAAAGGCTGAAGGTGAAGTTCCTAATAGTATTAAACTGTAGGGGGATTCAACAGACAGGTTGAGGTCAACTTGCTCGAAGCAGGGGGCCGTTGGGAGACGGGCAGAAAAGCCCTCGCGTCGAATTAGGCCAGGCAGGACCTAAGGCGGAGATAACTCAAGTCAGCAATTCGCCGGTGAGCCCTTTAGACACAGGCTGGGTGTGGAAACGTAACCCTGAGCCAAGTTTTAATTGGGGTTCCAGGTGCCAAAAGGATGCCGGTTAACTGGTCACGCTGCACACCTTGTCTTGTGGCACCGTGAAAGGACGGAGTCCAGAGAGCGGAGAAGAGCAGCCAGCCAAAGCCAAGTCGGTCGGTCTAGTTAGGTTCCTTACCATTTCCTCTATCTCTGCATTGAGTTCTTTGTTTGTTAAATTGCTGGAGTCAAGAGCTACTGCCAGCTCCTGGTAACGGGTCTGACGGGGTACATGCAGACAGCCAGCAGTGGAGGAGGAGGAGGAGGAGGAGGAGGAGGAGGAGGAGGAGGAGGAACGAGAAGAAGAAGAGAGAGGAGGGAAAAAAGGCAAAACATTTTTTTTTAAAAAGAGGGGAAGAAATTCAGTAGTTTTGCGCAACTCCTCCCCAATAAAATAACCCCAAACCCCTTCTTCCTCTTTCTACACCCTAAAAGCTTCATCCCATTTCAAAATCAAGGCTGGGGACCAATTCAAGATACAGCCTTGAAGCTCCGTCATGTAAGGCCCGGCTGAAATTGTGACCCAAATTTAACTCCATTTTTTTCCTGCCAAGGGGATGCATCTCTGGAACTCAACGCCTCTGCCCCAACCCAAGCTCTTCTAGTAGGGAAGGCAAGCCCCCCCCCGGAACTCCCCCAAGCAGCATGCCCAAAGGCATTGTGGGAGCTGCAGTTTGAGGGGGACGCACCGTGGAGGGCTGGTTAACAAAAATATACAGGCTGGACCTACCGCCATCTCTTTCATATCCGCCGTCGGCATGACGTTTTCTCCGTTGATGTAAGTCGTGGTCTGCAAAATAAAAAATAAAAAAAAGGTTAAGGGTCACAGCAAGGACCTGGATGCACAAGCCAGATTCCGTTCTCACAGCTCAATTGGCATTTTGAGGCTGTATCGAAATATACTACTGGCTGCTTTTAGCCCATCAAAGAATTATTAAAAAATAAGCTGAAGGATGTTTCAGACAGACTGAAGACAGACTGATTGATTGTGCCGACTCCCTTCTCCTCCCAATGTTGTTCTATTTTCCTGGATCCGATCTCTGCTTAGGAAGAGGGGTATTTCTTTCTTCTGAAAAAGGCTAAGCCTTGAAAATATTTCTACGCATAATTGCCATGGTCCCTCTGGCACAACTGCTTTATTGTTTCACCGTCAAGCTGTCTGGACTGGCATCTGTCAGAAATGGTGTAGGGTTTCCTGCTTGGACAGGGGGGGTGGACTGGATGACCTACAAGGTCCCTTCCAACTCTTTTGTTATTCTATTCTATTCTATTCTATTCCCTATTCTATTCTATTCCCTGTTCTATTCTATTCCCTATTCTATTCCCTATTCTATTCTATTTCCTATTCTATTCTATTCCCTGTTCTATTCTATTCCCTATTCTATTCTATTCTATTCCCTATTCTACTCTATTCTATTCTATTCCCTATTCTATTCTATTCCCTATTCTATTCTATTCTCTATTCTATTCTATTTCTATTCTACTCTACTCCATATTCCATTCCATTCCATATTCTATTCCATTCTATTCCAAACTCTGATTATCAGGAATTCCTATATATCTCGAGCGAAGAAAATATTTGTACTTCAGAGTTGAATTTGGGGGTCTTGGTGCTGAGCTGGATGGTGTTCCTGCAGACATTTCACGACCCAACTAGGTGACATCATCAGTGTTCGGAGGGGAGCTAGCTTCTACCCATTGCTCCCTTCTAGCACTGATGATGTTCCCTAGACGGGTCGTGAAACGTCTGCACGGAAACAACCCAGCTCAGAGAGCACCAAGGACCCCACAGTCCTCCTCCCTACAAACCTCACCCCCTTCTAGCACTGATGATGTTATCTAGTTGGGTTGTGAAACGTCTGCACGGAAACCACCCAGCTCAGAGACCACCAAGGACCCCACACCTGTAGTTTTGTTTCTGAGCTTCCACTTTGAGTAAGAGATATAACTAGAGAGTCAAAGGTGGGCCCCCGGCCTCTTACCTGGCTGACCATGCCGTTCAGTTGTTCAGAGAGCTTCCGGAGACTCTCCGTAGCCGAGAGGGACCTAGAGGAGAGACGAGGGATGAATAAGGAAGCTGGAACCACCCATCTGCTGTTCGGTGGCCAGGAAAAGAGAAGGGGGAGGAAGCAAGTCTGTTGTAGAAACTGGAACCAAAGACACATCGCTCACCTATTTTCATCCAACACGGTATTATGATCAGTGTCACAGATCTGTGGAACAGAGAGAGAGAGACACGCAATGAAGCCACAAGATTATACTTCACAGTCCATGTAAAACAGAGAGAGACACACAGAGAGATCTTCACAGTCACCATTACAAATCAAGGCAAATATAGGTGTTCCAGAATAATGTTGCAAGATCCAATCCGGGTTGGTCGCCGGGACCAGAATAGAAATAGAACAGAATATCAGAGTTGGAAGGGACCTTGGAGGTCGTCTAGCCCAACCCCCTGCTCAGGCAGGAAACCCTAGACCGTTTCAGACAAATGGCTGTCCAGTCTCTTCTTCAAAACATCCCGTGTTGGAGCATTCACAACTTCTGGAGCCCATCCCCAGGGAACCTCTCTCTAGCTTATCAAGTACAGGTAGTCCTCAATTTACAACGGTTCATTTAGTGGCCGTTCAAAGTTACATCGACGCTGGAAAAAGTGATGTAGGACCGGTTTTTCACACTTACGACCGTCGCAACACCCCCATGCTCAGGGGATCAAAGTCTGGAGCTCTTGGCAACCGACTCGTATTTATGACCGTCGCCGTGTGTTGGGGTTTCTCGCGATCCCCTTTTACGACCTTCTGACAAGCGACGTCATATGGGGGAGCCCGATTCGCTTAACGACTGTGTTACTGGGTTAACTGCGGCGAGGAAGGTCGCAAAACAGGACAACCGAGGAGCAGAAACGTTGGGCTCAACTCTGGTCGTAAGTAGAGGACTCCCTGCCCTGAAAGAAGTGGATGTTCACCCACCTGTGACAGCTGCCCATTGCCAGGATTTGGAGCAACAGAGGCAGGCACGCTTCTGCTGTTAGGCAGCAGGGAGACACCAGCAGCTAGGTCGCCATCGTTGTGGGCCTGTCAGAAAACACACACCACCACAAGGATTAAACCCAACCAGGCAGGGGAGGAGGAAGCAGGTGAGGGCAGCGAGGTACAGCTTCGCTCGGAAACTTGTCCCGGGAAGATTATCCTAATATCCCCCAAAAAAAACCCAAATCCTCTTACGGCTTAAAGCCAGCTAAGGTCCCAGGGAGAGGCTCAGCCTGCCGCTTCAGAGGGCGGCTACGTTAGGGGGAAGCGAAACAAGGCTAAAATTGCTCCTTGGTTTGAACAACCACCACACACACACACACACACACACACACAAAAAGGGAAGATAATTCATCGGTGACTCAGCAGCCCGTCTGGGAAAATGCCAGGGTACCTGTCTAACCTGACAGTTAGGACAATTAACCAGTGGAACAACCTGCCTCCAGAAGCTGTGAATGCTCCAACACTGGAAGTTTTTAAGAAGAGACTGGACAGCCGTTTGTCTGAAACGGTATAGGGTTTCCTGCCTGAGCAGGGGGTTGGACTAGATGACCTCCAAGGTCCCTTCCAACTCTGATTCTATTCTATTCCATTCCATTCCATTCCTGAAGGCAGGACAAGAAGCAACGGATGGAAACTAACCAAGGAGAGAAGCAACCTAGAACTAAGGAGAAACTTCCTGACAGTTAGAACAATTAACCAGTGGAACAACCTGCCTCCAGAAGCGGTGAATGCTCCAACACTGGAAGTCTTTAAGAAACTGGACAGCCATTTGTCCGAAATGGGATAGGGTTTCCTGCCTGAGCAGGGGGTTGGACTAAATGACCTCCAAGGTCCCTTTCAACTTTATTATTATTATTATTATTATTATTATTATTATTATTATTATTATTATTATTATTATTATTATTATTATTACTACTACTATTATTATTATTATTATTATTATTAAAAACAGTCTGACTTCAACCAGCCAGAAATCTGGGCTGCTAGGCCTAAGGCAGTGATGGCGAACCTTTTAGAGACCGAGTGCCCAAACTGCAACCCAAAACCCACTTATTTATCGCAAAGTGCCAGGGCTGCATCAGCATTGTGGTGCCTTCGGGGGGGGGGCAGGGGGTGTGGCCCACTGGGTGGGCGTGGCTGCAGTGGTCATGGCAGACTAGGGTGAGCATGGCCATGGCCATGGCCAGCGGGGGCCAGTCCCTTGCCATCTCTGGGGCATCCCGGGGGGGGGCAACGCTGCTTGCTCACTCACTTGCTGCCCTGTGGCTTCCAAACGCCATGTGCTCGCTACTCTGGCGAACTCTGGTGGGGCAATGGTGCACGTGCCCACAGAGAGGGCTCTGAGTGCCGCCTCTGGCATGCGTGCCGTAGGTTCATCACCACTGGCCTAAGGAAACTGGCTGTCACTAGCTGCAGATCTGATTTTTATTTAAAAAAAGTAACTAAAAGGAAACTTCAACGAGCTCGCAGGCAAAACTCTACTTAATTGAACTGGTAGAGAATTTGAGAGGGGGCCTGAACAAAGAACGTTCCCTTCTTTTAACAGGGCACGGCTATCGTGCTGATAAATCCATCGATCGGAGTAGAGCTGGGAGGGACATCTCAGGACTTCACCATGGGAAGAGGCAGCCAATGTTGCAAAACAAGACAAAAACTCGGCCGAGAGGATTGGATCAGATATCGGGGGCCGGTTCTCCAGCCCACAAAGTCAACACGGTTTGGAATGTGTGTGTGTGTTAGCCACCCAGAGTTGCTTGATAGTGAGATGGGCAGCATATAAATGTGATAAACACACACACACACACACAAATATATATGGAGATTCTGTCATCCAGGTCCTGGTTCTCCCAAACGTGCTTTTTCCAAGAGGCAACTGGACTTTCCTGGTAAGTAAAAGCAACTCTAGGCATTAAAATTCCTTGGGAAGGAAAGTGAGGCTTGATCAAACTGACTAGCCAGTTTTTAACTGGGATATCAGCAGAGCGTCAATATATCTATGGAGACTCTCGGTCATCCAGGTCCTGGTTCTCCCAAAGGTGTTTTTTCCTGGACTTTCCTGGGTTTTCCTTTGAAGACGTTTCCCTTCTCATCCCAGGAGCTTCTTCCTTCCATCTCCCCACCATCCAGTCAGAGCTGAGGAAGCTTCTGGGATGAGAAGGGAAACGTCTTCAAAGGAAAAACAGAGAGTCAAGCTGCCTCCTGAAAAAGCTCCTTTGGGACACACATATCTATAGATCAGACTGTACGTTGAGTTTCACAACCACTCAGAACATGAATATTTATGGGAAACACACATCGCTGCTCCCTGGGAACAATCCGAATTCCAGACATATAGGAACACACCCAGAGATGTTTCAGGGGGGAGAGGGGGGGAGAGAGAAACTTGATGTGTAGAGAAGACTCTCAACTGTCCAGCCCTGCTGATGATTCACTGTGGCCAACACCACTCGCTTATGAGAAATTCACTTTGGGAAGGGAAGTTGATTGGAAAAGGGGCGGGGATGGGGGGGGGAGAGCTCTCTCTCTGGTCAAAATTCTCGCTATTATATTTTGGGATGCTATGTGATTATCCCTGTACTATCCCTGTTTTAAAAATAATTTTAAAATAACAAAGGCCAATCTAATATTTCATTTTAATTATGTTTTTAATGATAGTATTCTGGTATTTTTTGTATTTGTTTTTTATCAGGCTGTTAGCCGCCCTGAGTCCGCAAGGAGAAGGGCGGGGTAAAAATTCAATAAATAAATAAATAAATAAATACTCAGTTCTGGGAAGTCCGGGGGGAGGGGGGAAGGGGATGAAGGGGTAGAATTATATAAAATTTGGTGCATTTATATGTTATAGGAAAATAATGTAATGGTTTTTCTTTTTTTTTTTTTTGAGAAGAGGAGATGATCGGCTAGTACCCCTAAACTGCATCCGAAGGAGGTGGAAAAGAAGGTGATGGGATGTGTAGGATAGTTGGAAAGGAGGAAGGAGGAGAGAGGTGTGGGTAGGAGGGGAAGGAAGGAAGAGGGAAGTAGGTAGGAAGGTGGAAGGAGTGAGGGGGGATGCAGGGGGGGGGACTGCCGATCATTTCTGAAAATATATTGGCTAGGTTTTCCTTTTTGTTTTTTAATGAAATGCACCGCATTTGTATTATTTGTTTATATGAAAATTAATAAATATTTGTAAAACGAAAATTCTCGCTATTATAGGTAGTCCTCGGCTTACAACGGTCCATTCAGTCCCCGTTCCTAGTTGCGACGGGGCTGAAAAAAGTGACTAATGACTGTTTTTCCCGTTGCAGGTCACGGGGTCGAAATTCAGAGGCTTGGCAGGCGACTCAGACTTACGACGGTTGCCTGTGATCACGCCACCCCCTTTTGCGACCTTCCGAGAAGCAAAATGAAAGGGGGGGAGGGAGAGCCAGATCCACTTAATGACGGTGTGGCTAACTTAACAACGGCGGGGATTCCCCAGAGAACCGTGGCGAGAAAAGTCGTAAAATGGGGGCAAAAATCCACTCCGCTTAGCAACAGAAACTGTTGGGCTATACTGGGCCTGTGTTTCAAAGCAGCTGCTCTGCCTTGAAAAGCCAGGGCATTTTTTTGCCCTTGTAATCTGAACCCGGTGAAGGAACCGCCGGGCGAGAGAAACTAGGGCAGGAAAGCAGGTGGTTAAAAATAACTCCGCACAAACCAGCGACAACGGCATTCCCGGAGTGGGGAACCACAAAAGGCTCTGCCACCTGCCACCCGCCCCCCAAAAGAACGGTCAGCCCGGATTGGAAGCAGGCGGGGTGGGAGGGTGGACGGACGGCAAGCCAGCCGGACCGGTTCTGGAAGCTGCCTCACCTTCCACTTGTCCAATGTAGGTATGGCTACCCCATTGGAGCAGTTAAAGTCGGACACCAGCACCTTCAGAAGGCTCTCAATCTACAGGAGCAAAAGAAAAAAGAGGAAGAGAAAGAGCTGAGAAAAAAAAGAGGAGGGAAAAAAAAAAAGGGACAGGAAAGAACGTCGATCCCCGGAAGCGAAAGGAACGAGAGACCAAGAAGCGTGGCAGGAAAAGTGAAGAAGGCAAGCAAGCGCCGCTGGAGACGATGGAACTTGCAGCCACATGTCTGTGGAGATTCTCACTCATCCAGGCGTTTTTTTTTCCAGGAGGCAACCGGACTTTCTGGTTTTTCTTCGNGGGGGGGGGAGAGCTCTCTCTCTGGTCAAAATTCTCGCTATTATATTTTGGGATGCTATGTGATTATCCCTGTACTCAGTTATGGGAAGTCCGGGGGGGAGGGGGGAAGGGGATGAAGGGGTAGAATTATATAAAATTTGGTGTATTTATATGTTATAGGAAAATAATGTAATGGTTTTTCTTTTTTTTTGAGAAGAGGAGATGATCGGCTAGTACCCCTAAATTGCATCCGAAGGAGGTGGAAAAGAAGGTGATAGTATTGTGGTAACGATAGTATTGTGGTATTTTTTGTATTTGTTTTTATCAGGCTGTCAGCCGCCCTGAGTCCGCAAGGAGAAGGGCGGGGTAAAAATTCAATAAATAAATAAATAAAATAAATAAATAAATGGGATGTGTAGGATAGTTGGAAAGGAGGAAGGAGGAGAGAGGTGTGGGTAGGAGGGGAAGGAAGGAAGAGGGAAGTAGGTAGGAAGGTGGAAGGAGTAAGGGGGGATGCAGGGGGGGGGACCACCGATCATTTCTGAAAATATATTGGCTAGGTTTTCCTTTTTGTTTTTTAATGAAATGCACCACATTTGTATTATTTGTTTATATGTTTATTTGAAAATTAATAAAAATTTGTAAAACGAAAATTCTCGCTATTATAGGTAGTCCTCGGCTTACAACGGTCCATTTAGTGACCGTTCCTAGTTGCGACGGGGCTGAAAAAAGTGACTAATGACCGTTTTTCCCATTGCAGGTCACGGGATCGAAATTCAGAGGCTTGGCAGGCGACTCAGACTTACGACGGTTGCCTGTGATCACGCCATCCCCTTTTGCGACCTTCCGAGAAGCAAAATCAAGGGAGGGGGGAGGGAGAGCCAGATCCACTTAATGACGGTGTGGCTAACTTAACAACGGCGGGGATTCCCCGGAGAACCGTGGCGAGAAAAGTCATAAAACGGGGGGCAAAAATCCACTCCGCTTAGCAACAGAAACTGTTGGGCTATACTGGGCCTGCGTTTCAAAGCAGCTGCTCTGCCTTGAAAAGCCAGGGCATTTTTTTGCCCTTGTAATCTGAACCCGGTGAAGGAACCGCCGGGCGAGAGGAACTAGGGCAGGAAAGCAGGTGGTTAAAAATAACTCCGCACAAACCAGCGACAACGGCATTCCCGGAGTGGGGAACCACAAAAGGCTCTGCCACCTGCCACCCGCCCCCCAAAAGAACGGTCAGCCCGGATTGGAAGCAGGCGGGGTGGGAGGGTGGACGGACGGCAAGCCAGCCGGACCGGTTCTGGAAGCTGCCTCACCTTCCACTTGTCCAATGTAGGTATGGCTACCCCATTGGAGCAGTTAAAGTCGGACACCAGCACCTTCAGAAGGCTCTCAATCTACAGGAGCAAAAGAAAAAAGAGGAAGAGAAAGAGCTGAGAAAAAAAAGAGGAGGGGAAAAAAAAAGGGACAGGAAAGAACGTCGATCCCCGGAAGCGAAAGGAACGAGAGACCAAGAAGCGTGGCAGGAAAAGTGAAGAAGGCAAGCAAGCGCCGCTGGAGACGATGGAACTTGCAGCCACATGTCTGTGGAGATTCTCACTCATCCAGGCGTTTTTTTTTCCAGGAGGCAACCGGACTTTCTGGTTTTTCTTCG